TCTTGTGTCCAGCAGGAGAACTTTAGCAATGAACAACATTTACATATTCACAGATTCTGGAATTTATAATGAGGTAGAAGGAGGAGATGACTTTTTAAGGATTTACATGTGAAAATGAAACTTTTTTTTGCAGGAAAAGAGTTATCAGACACACATTATTGTTCCAGGAAGACCATTTGTATATATGTGTCAATACATATTGGTTTGTGTTTTATTTTCTTTTGAAGGCACTAAAATACCTTATAAGTCAAATTAGTATTGGAAAGTGGAAATACCATGAAGTGGTGATATAGCACAAAAACAGAAATATGAAATAAATATGAAAGTGTTTGAAATCAGATTTATGTTGTACAACAGGCTAAGACAGTGCCAGTTTGGTCATTAGCTGTTCAGTCCATCAGGCAGCTACAACCCTCTGCCTAACACTTCTCTGCGTCCCGCCAACCACCACAGCCTTTCTTTAACGCTGACGCCATGAGATCTCTGCTGTCGGCATTGAAGCAGAGAATGCAGTAATAGATGGAGGAATGGCTTTGAGTGGACGAGGAGGGTGTCCCATTCTTTAGAGACGGGGGTCTCATTCACTACTCAGATAAAGCTGCACTATTTGCATGTAATAAGAGGTGCAGAGGCCAGGCATGGGGATAATGGTTGGCCTAATGATGGACTTGGGATTGTGAGAGCCACAACACAGCGCTGTGGAACAGATTATATCTATAATTACTGACAGGTGCAAAGACACAACAGAGACATCAGATCAGAACTAGTAATGCCCAACTTTCTAAGAGAATCTTCAGCATTTTACTTTGTGATGTTTCCTTTACAAAACCTACATGTTTCTTAAACACGGAGTAGATAGAGGGTGAATAGTGTGTATTTACTATTCCACTGAATATGTTGAAGTGTGTGTATCCTGATCTGAAGGCGCATGGTGTTTCTCTGTGTGTGTATGCATGCGGAGGGTGGAAGTCACCCCACTGAGAGAGCTGTGTCCTCTCAGCTGCTGCATTTACATTGAAATCAGCCTCTTTGTCCAGGCCCGTCCTAAAGCCTGACAGGCTGGGAGAGCTTCACTGATAGCAGCCTAATCCCTGTGCACACATTCACATTAATACACTGACAAATTACACCAACACATGCACGCAGCCATTCAAACCTTACCCATGCACATATTTAAACTGGGTTTCCCACCAAATATTTATAGTTACAATGAGTTAAATAAATATAAAAATAATAAATAATGTACAGAATATGCACAATATTCCTGTATTTATTATAATTCCTTAAAGTTATATATTATGATTGATATATGACTAAGTAAGGGTCCCTCCCTTATGCAGTATGAAGTAAATAGCAAAAGAAACACATCAATTATTATATAGCAGCCTGATGTATGTATGATATCACCTCATTGTGCAACAGTTGAAAAGTTGCCCTTGGCTTTCTGGAGTGCTGTTTGCAAAAACAGCCCCTGTGTTGTTGGGAAATAGTTAAAGAGATATTCCAGCAATTCAGTATTGCACTTCCATACATTTGCAAGACTCACAAGAGAACTGTAACAGCAGCAGAGGCTGAGATATCCTTACTGACCATAGAATGAGACAAGAATGGTGGATCCTTCAATTTGCATAATGCAACTCCATAGTGTCTTTGTGCCGCTACTTTCAAGCTTTAGTTTGTGATGCAGGTTTTGTTTAAAAATGTCTCAAGCTCGGGGTAACCCTGATAACATCATTGGGTTTATTTTGTTGAACCCTGGGGAGCTCCCTCCAAAGCCACAGGGGACAATATAACTGTTTTCACATTTGTGAAGTGTGGCACATTCACGCCTCCTGTGTCTCATGCTTCAGGTCTGTGTTGACTTTTCAGCATTTAACCAAGACCACGACCTTAACAAAGGGTCTTAACAGAACTATAAAGGCATAAGTCAGGCAGCAGAAAGTGAAGGGAAACAAACATCCAGGGGCGGATCTAGAGAAATATTAATGGGGGTGTCCAGTGGGTGATAGGGGTGGCAAAAATATATGCTGATTTAACTGTAAACAATCACATATATCAATATATGCTTGGGAAAGCTCCCAAATGAAGATATTTGAACTCAAAAACATTATTGTGGCACATTAGTAAAGCATTCAATTGAAAGGTGGCATTAGAAATCAATAAGTTGTTTTATTTCCAAATCTTCAGACATCACTGTTAGGCACTGTCACGCATTGGCTTCACTTTGCAGACTCGGAAGCTCTGTCCACTATATATACTGTCAGTGGTTCTGCATCAGTATTAGTCTAAAATCTGGCCAGATTATTGTTATGTGTTGGCAGCTCACCCATGTCATCTCTTATGTCATAAAAAGATAAAATGTAGGTGGCATTATGTGGCCATCTACGTTGTTTATTCTATTTATCTATTATCTCTCTGCCTGTCCCATTATCTGTTTTTAAATCATCAATTTCATGAAAAGTTTTTTGCTACTTGGTTAAACCAATGTAGTGAGGTAAGTTTTACTACTCAGGAAAATAGAATTAACCATAAGTATGGTTGCTAAGGTTACCTGCAGCCTGATATACCTAATGAGGTGATTTAGAAAAGTCAGCCTTCCTACAGCACTACTTATATCATGCTGCATGGGTGATAAAATGTTATATGTGTATATGTGTGTGTGTATATATATATACATATATTATATTTATATTTTAAAATCTTTAAAGCTTTGGTTTTCTGGTTTAGTAAAATCCGAGGTGAAGAGCAGGGAAGGGCAGAGGGAGGGAGGGAATAAAGGAGCGATGGAAGCAGAGACTTGCAGGAACAGGGCAGGGTTTCTTTTTGTTGAGGCAGCGTTGTATTATTTATAGGAGGTGGTGGAGGCAGGCCGCTTCAGATGGAGCAGAGCAAAGAAGGGGAGCAGCCCCTTTCTCTTTTGTGGGTCTATTCCCAGTGGGCAGGCTTTGTGCTGGCTGGATGGTTGCCTTTGAGGAAACCCGGGCAGCTATTGAGCTGAGAGTGAAGGCCGGGCCTGACTCGCCCGCACTGAGACACAGCAACACTACAGCACTACAATGTCTGTCACTGCTTTGGCCAGAGAGGAAAAGAAAAGGACGGAGAGAGAGTGACAGAGGATGGGGGGGAAATAGTGGGAGTGTTTGATTTTGGCAGGGAGGGATTGGGGGAAAAAAATAGTGTTTTTGTGGTGAGAAAAGAGAAAGCCAGAAAGAGATAGGAGTGGGTTGAAAAAAATGGAGGCAGGGGTGGAGAAGAGAAGAAAGGAAGAAAGGGAAAAAAGGCAGGTCTCCTTTACAGTACTGCACTGCATTGATCTATGTTTATTCATGATTCTGCATTATTCACAAGATTAGCTGATGCAACCTGGTGCCGAGGGGAGGCAATGACTCCCCCCATCAATCCACTCGGTGACCACACAGTTCAACTCCGAGTCCCAACAACAAGTGGGAGACAGCTGAACTGTCTCTGAGCTCCAGCACACTCACTCCAGGCTAGAGTGTATGAAGAATTGGACGCAGTGCACTCGCAGTCAGAATACATAACAAAGCATAAAACATTGATTCAATCAGGGAGCAAAAAGCAACATGAAAGAGGTAAAATCAACATCTCAGTGCTTCAATCCAAACAAGAATTTAGTTGTATTTTAAGGGGAAAACTTCAGAGGCTTAAAGCATTGTTACAGATCTATATTGAGATATAATATTTGGATATTTGAGTAACTTAGTGCACCTTGGTGTCTTTTTTTGGCCTGTTTTTTTAATTTGTGACATAACATCAGAAAGCTGCAATAATCAATATTCTTATATGAACAATGAAACTAATGAGAATGCGAAATGCAAAAGTGGTTGCTCATAGTGATGATCCTGC